TTGAAAGGAAAAGACAAGTACGTTTTGTCTTTCATTTAAATCTCCAGGCTTTTTGCCCGATACATTAGACTTGCTTGTGGCGTAGGCACCACATTTTTCGCCTTTAATTTGCTTTCCTGGGAAGATTCCTTTGGCATAGGACAGCAGTATATTCTGTCTCACTTGTCATTTGTAGTAGGACATATATTATGATACGCTATGTAAGCAATAAGAAAATAGCATACGTTTACGTTTATCTTGTAGTGATATATAATTTATGATTTATTAAAGCTTGCCTGGGGTTTTAGAAAGCACAATCAGTCACAAGCCATAGAAGGTGGTGGCACACACCTTTAATCCTAGGACTCAGGATTAAGAGATAGACAGATCTCTGTGAGTCCAAGGCCACCCAGATCTACACAAGACTGATCCAGTCCTAAAGAGAAACAGCTCACACAAAGATGATCTCAGCACCTGGGATCACAACGCCTTTAATCCCAGCATTAGAGAGGTATAGAAGACATGAGCAAGGTCTCAGTATTAGATTAATTCTCCAGCCACATTGATAATAGGAACACTCCAGCCCTTTTAGAGATCAGAGCTCTCTGGAAGCTTGGCTGTGTTGTTTCCCTGATCTTCAGGTTGAACCCCAATATCAGTCTCTGGGTCACATCTATTAATTTGTGTTACAATATCTATTTTTTAACCTTTGTGAATAAGAGACTATACCCATTAGTATATGTGTTTCTGCCTCATCAAAATACATTGCTATGTTTGTGAGGTTAAATAAGTAAGTACATGTTTAACTGAATTATAGAAATAATCTGACCATCTAGCTACGGAAAAAAAAGAACCCTCCTGCACATCTCTGTTGTATTACATGCATTACATCCATACTCCTTTTGAGGGCGCTGTTTGATAGACGCTCCCACCCCCTTCCTGTCTCATACCAGTTCATCTTTCTCTTATTACCGTTTCTATTTGTTTAACCTAGAGTTGTATTCAGTAACATAGTGGTTCTATACATGCAAATCATATTCAAAACCACAGAAAAATAGCTTTTCATGTGAGGGGTGAAGTAGAGATCCCCTTGACTTAATGTCTTCAAAGGAGAAAAATAATGGGTAAGTTACACAATGCAGCCATTTTATTAAGCAAATGGTAAAAGGAAAATTAGACTTAATGTTCATAACAGCCTTTCCAGAGTGCTGAAAAGGGGCGGCTTGGGCACTGCCCAAGTCCTTGACGGATCTGGCATTTAGGCTTTATTTGTTAGTCATTTACTATGTCTATTTATATAGATTTTTATTTTTTGCTTTTCAGTCCAAAGCACCACCAGAGAGTATTTTCTTTAGGACACCAGCTGGTTCCTTTTCTCCTAAATGGGCACAGTGTTCCTGAAGATGAGGTCGCTAGCATGGAAGTGTGCCCTCTTTCTTTGTGAAGACTGTCTAAAATTGAAAATAACTTTTTTTCAAGTAGCAATTTATCATAGCAGGGGCCATGGCTCACCAACACTTATTGAGGACTGGGAATAGGGAAAAAGTATGAGGTATTATTTTCTGAAGAGCCCAGAAGATGGGGAAACTTTCGGAGATTGGCCATACTCTTTCTCTCACTTTCAAAGGGAAAAGGCAATCTTATTTAGTGGATAAAGAACTATAATGCTGTAATGTTTGTGTCCTGTGTATGTCCCACGGCACCTTCATGTGACTTTTCAGTGAACGTGTCTCAGGTCACACAGCTGCTTTAGGGTTGAGTTGTCTCCTTTAGGAGCAGATCCACGCTAACAATATTGCACTTGTGACATACACTTACAGAACAAGAGAGTGATGCGATTAATATGAAGCTCAAAGACAGACTAACTCTTCAACAGTCTAGGCAGAAACAATTTCATTTTATTGTTAATGATTCAGAAACTGTATACACCATAGTGGGGTAGCCAAAGGAGATGGGAGTCTTGCTAGTTCTTTAAGCAGATAACCACTCTTTTAGAGTGGATATTGCTAGTAATTTTAGTTCATGGAGCTGAAAACCTACAACTCATGGAGCTGAATGTCTTCTCTGAAGAAATCTGATTGGCCACATATTTCTCTAAACAGAGAACTGTTTGTTACATGTGAATCTTGGAGAAATCCTCACATCTGAACTTGTTGTCTTGAGATTCTGCTGTTTACTCTTATAAACAGTTGTTTTCCCCCAATAAACTCATTCATTTACTTCCTGTGGAGGAAGGGCAGTGGGACAGTGGTTTGTTTGTGTGTCTATATGTGTAAATGTTTAGCATATGTTTGTGTAATTATGTATATGTCTTCAAATGCATATGCATGTGGTGTAAGTATAGGACATGTCTGTGTAAATAAGTGTATAGTATATGTGTAGATATAAGTATGTATATATATGTATACACCCACACACACGTGCGCACGCACGAGCGCATGCGCACATACACATACACATTGATAAGTAAGTTGTGTGTGTGTCTGTGTGTCTGTGTGTGTATTTGGAGGGGGATGCTATGGGTCACCTTGGGAAGTTGGTCTTACTTTCTGGCAGTGTCAACCTGTAAGGACCTCTTAAATCAGCAGGAATCAATATTCCTTGGAAATACCTGAGAAGGAGCAACTTAAGAAAATTTGGTTGAGGTTTAAAAATCCACTGATGTTTGGAGCTGAGGCTGTAACCAGGTTGCACAGATGTATACATGAGAGATAAGGGAATTAAAAAGTATGTGTTCCAGAAGTAAACTGTAATGACTTGAAATTGACAAGCTTTCTGTGGGCCTAAGTCCCTGGAAGATAGGGTGTATTTAGGAAAATACTTAGGGACATAATGCCAATTTTGTTTGTTTATTTTTTCTCCTCCTATTTCATTTTTCTCCCTACTGCCTGTAATTCAATCATATCCTTGGGCCCGGGTGTATTGCCTAAGGGGAAAGAAGAAAAAGCAAGTGTTTCAAAAGTCTAAACCTTAGGGAAATGCAGAGGATTTGAAGCGAAGAAAATGTTATGAGAAAATACTTTCAGTTAGCCTTTGCTGCATGACAAACTTCTCCAGAATTTCACAGCTAACATAAACACCATTTATTGTTGCCTCAACTCTGCTGATATGAATCGGCCTAAGATGACTGTGGCTGGCATAGATTCTGGCTCAGCAGTCAACTTACACAGGGTTGCATGAGCTCTGTCCATGTCTAGGGATTGGCTGGTGGATGGGGGGTGATAATGAGGATAACCTTGAGCCTCCATCATTGTGCATTCTGGCTTTGATTTCTTCACACCTTATCAAGTGAGCATCCTCCCATCTGTCAATCACCTGCCTCCTCAGGCCTGCTCCAGAGCCCCTACAGCATGGCTTTCATTGGCCATAGGAAGGCATAATGGCATCCTGGATTTAAGGAGTGGCGAGGCAGCATCCATTCTGAAAGGAGGAGCCAATAAGATATCATTGCACAAGAGGGAGCCAATAAGACGTCTCACAAGAGGGATGCTCCTAGGGAGGGAAGGAGAATTGCAGCCGTCTGTCTGATCTGCTATACATATCATGAAAGAGCACGTAGCCCTGACATTGAGAGCTGGATGAAGCCGTATCTACAGCAGCGACACTGGAAGAAAAGACAGGTGTTCCCTTTCCCATTTGGGGAAGAGTGAGAATCAGGATGATGAGTGATGGTGTCAGTGCTTGGAACAATGTTTTTGCAAAAGAGTTGTGAAAAATATGTCGACTCCCATTTGTATTTGTGGTATCAGAGAGAGAAAAATGCCTGTAGAACCCAGATGCCCCTTGGGAAAGGGTGACAGGATTTGCAGAGAGGCAAATGGGCCATAGAGGCCACAACAGAACTACTTTCTCCCAGCAAGCCATGGCAAGTTGTGGATAGTTGGAGTCACTGAAGCAGGACATCTGTGACCAAGCACAGGTGACATCAAGGAAGTCCTTGGGGTGATGGTTCGGTGGGTTAACATTTGTTATGCAAGTGTGGGGACCTTGGTTGAATTCCAAAATTTCACCTAAACAGCCGGGGGTGGTGACAAGCTATTGGCGTCCCAGTGCTGTGGGTGTAGATGGGTAGAGACCCTGGGTACACTGGCCACCTAGCCCAGACTAAGTTATGAGCCCCACGAGCCACTGAGAGAGCTGATGCTGACCTCTGTCTCCTCATGCACATGCTCTCACAATGCAGACGTGCACTTCTTCCCCCAGGACACAAAGTTATTGAGTGGATCGGCTACTAGAGACAGAGATATCTCCTGTGCTCTTGACACACTAACACTTCGGCACAAGGAAGCCATGCATACAACAAAGACACATCCATAGGCGTGGGGCACTGAGGACAAAAGACATTGCGAGATTTTATGTTTGCCGTCCCACCAGTATAAGCCTTGTAAAGTGGTAGCTGAGATTCAGCCTGTCTTTTGTTGGAGTAAGACAACACACGTACAGTTTTTTCTTTAAATGACTATTATTTACTTGAAGATACTATTAAGGGGCAATAAATACATAGAAAGCATTGTCCCTGGGGCTCTGGCTAGTTGCTGTGGACAGTATGATAGGACAGGTTTCCTTGGCTTCAAGTCTGATCATTGTCCTACAGTCAACATATGACTCCATAGAAGACAATTCTTCCTGTCTTAGAAATATTCAGTGTGACAATGTTGTGCTATTGCTCTAGCCTTGAAATGAGGTATCTGAGGTATAGCTGGAGTGACTGAGGCCAACAGGGAAGGAGTGACGAGTGCCAAGTGGGACTGGAGGAGTCTGTGAGGAGTCTCAGCAGCGCCATGCTAGAAGTGATTTGTATTCAAGATGAGCGATGCTTCTGACACCAAGGCCAAGTCTTTGCAGAATGTGGAACCAGCACGGGGGATGGTGGGAATTTCTAGTTGTTTTTCATTATGAAGGTGCCAAAGTGTCTGAGCTTATGTTAAATCTAAAGGCATTGTTGCTGGAAATGGGAGGCAATGAAGCAGAACATCAAACAGACATTGATCGGATGCACCTAAAGAAGGTGAAAGGCGGAGCACGCTAAAACACACGCGACTTATAGAGCCCGGGCTCTGTAGAGACTTCCAGTTCGGGCTGGGGTGATGGGTTGAAAAAGCGAGAAGCGTTACCTAGCTGAAAGCAAGCTGTTTTATTCTTGGGAAAATGCAAAGCCTTGGTGAACAATAAGAGTTCTCAGTACAGCCCTGCGGGATTGAAAAGAGACAGACCCTTGGGCTGACTGAAGCAAAGACCAGGGAGGCACTCTTAAAGGAACAGGGCAAACCTGCCTGTGGGAAGCGATTGTGGACACAGCAAAAACCAGCATCGGGTTATTGTGTGTCAACTGTGGATTTCTTCACCTCTCAAGTCTCACCCCGCCCCCGCCCGATTTTCACGATGTATAAAATGGAGGTAAATAGTAATACGAGTGCTCGGCCCCTTGCTTGTCTTGGCTAGCTGTCTGGAAGGCTGCTCTTCTTAGTGGAGGTCTTGAGAGATGGAGGTTGTACTAAGACAGAGTGTGTTGAAATGGTGTGTATAAGTATAGTACTTAACGTGGGCCACAGTGAGGGGAATAAAGTACTTGCCTCAGGTACAACATGAAAGGGGTACCCAAAACTCGGTCTTCAAGGTAAACACTATTTTAATGTAATTTTTAAACAGGAAAAAATCAGTACAAAAAACAGCAGGATGAACAAACTTCCTGAGTTTTAAGTAAAGATGGGATCATGAAAAGCACCACGCTGAGCTATGTAGGCAGAAGGAAAGCCAGGACACTGACTCTTCTTTATCTGAAATTTTGGTATTTTTTTTTAACCAGGGCTTTTTGTATGATGGCGACTTTTAAAAGGTATGTGCACTTGTTACTTCCTCTGGTCACTGAGTTTGGACATCTGTTTACATTTTAAACCTTCATTTTGGTTTCCCTAGTTTTGCTGCTTGGTTTTGTTTTTGTCTGTTTTGTTCTTTCTTTTGAATTTAATCATTCTCAAACCCACTTTCTCAGCTCCTACTGTAAACTACATTTTTATATTTGAAAATACCTAGGCCAAGAAAGAATATGTATTTGTTTTGTATGACTCCTGTAACAAATTGTCACAAACTTGGGAGTTACAGACAGCTCATATTTACTCCTGCAATTATGGAGGTCATACATCTCCATGCAATTTCCTTGGGCTGGAATCCAGGTGTTGACAGGGTGATGCTCACTCTGGAACTTTCGAGAGAGTTCCCTTTTCCTGCTTTTCTAGCATCCAATGCATTCCTTGTCTTTGGTCTCATTTCAGTATCAGAGCCTTCATGGTCACATTGTCTTCTGTGGTCATCACCACTCCTGCTGTATTTATTATTTATTTATTTGTTTATTAGGGAGCAATTTTCCCCATCTTTTTTTCCAACTGTAATTCTTTGACAGAGCAAGTGTGATTAAGTTTAGGGTAGTCACCCAGATAGCTCATAATATTCTTCCTATCTCAATGTATGTCCCTTAATTGTATTGGGAAAATCTCCTCTGCCTTGTACAGTGCAGGCTGTGGTGACTGTGGCTTGGATGGCCTTGAGGACCACTGGTCGACCTCTCATCAGCTGGACAGCACAGGTTGGTTCCACTGATGTAGATCAACTTCTGTGCAGACTACTGATGTCTTACCAGGTGAGGAGAAGGTGACAGAATAACGTTCCACTTTCTTTGTGGGCCTGCCGAGTAGCTGGGGACATAATGAGGGATGAAATAGGTGAGATGGATAGTAATTATTATCCCTTTCCTTCATGCAGAGCCCTGTTTGAAAGATAAGGCAAAATAAAGCTTAGCATTTGGAGACACACAAATCTGACTCTTTTTAACTGAAGTTCCAAGGACAACAGCCTTATATACGGGACAGATTTTATGAGGCTGACTGCCTGACTAGAAATTTGTGATTGTGGAGAAGGGGAACGCATCGGAATATCTTTAGCCCTCGCCATAGCCATTCATTGCCCACTGTGTCTGACCTGACATCCTTGTGGCTATCGAGTAAAACCTTTTTGAATGTGTTAATAGACCACTAGCTCCTACAAACCCCAAAGCTAAGAATGTCATCAGGTGAGATCCGAGACTTACAGCGGGGATTTCCCTACACTTCTGTGACACACCTATGTGATATTTCATGCATTTGTAAAATGCCTTGATTTATGATTTCCTTTTTGTCTGTAACTGTAAAAACTCCATCAACTGTTTCCACATCGGAATGTGTTATTTGTGGGCAGGCTTGCCAATTGTGAACCCTGCAAGACACAATAATAACTTTGTTGGTAGGATAGGCCAGCTGGTGTAATAATGGCATGTGCATTACAAGAGTGACCAACCACTTTCTGAATGGCCTGCTCCACAAGAGGGACCTCATACCTAGCACTATTGTTGGGACAAGAATCTGTGACCCTCAGTCAGAGCATCCTACTATCATTGTGTTAAACCAACATAGTATTAGACCAACTTGTGATGGCTTATTACTATATCCATAGATTGGTTCATCTCTCAACTATCAACAGAGAAGCCTCTTCTTACAGGAGGTGATTAACATACATACCCACAACTGGTCAACATTCAGAGAATAAGAGAGTTCAGAGTGCTCAGTCTTAAGTGGGACATCTATACAAGCCTTCCTCCTCCAAAGGCTCAGGTATCATTGTGGAAGAGTGGGCAGAAAGAGTATAAGAGCCAGAAGGTTTGAAAGAGTGTAATGAAACTGTCTTTAGATCAGGTGCACATATGAGCTCACACTAGCCGTGAAAACATGCACAAGGTTTGGGCAAGATCAAGCCAGTCAAAAACTCTAGCATGGGAAGGGAGTTGATCATGAATCCCTGCCTCTAGATGAGGAGCTACTGACAACAGAAAATGGCTTCTGAGAGAGAGAGAGGAACTTTGTTTTTTTGATATGCAAGCCCCCATGAGGCTATCTATCCCTCATGCCTAAACAAAAAACGATAGTGCTGAGCGGACTAGTGGGTTAAAAACAATGACAACAACAACAGCAGTAACAATAACAACAAAACAAAAGCAAAACAAGAATACCAAGAACGCATGAAGTTGGGAGAGAATAGAGGTGGGGTGATGAGGGAAGAATTTGAACGGAGGGAATAGAGAGTGGGTTTGGTCAAAATACACTGTATGTGTGTACAACATTCTCAAACAAACAAAAAGCAAAATACTACATCGGTTCTGGGGAAATATGATTGTATTTGCTGTTTGGCATGCATATATATATGTATGTATACACACACACATATATATAATATATATGTATATCTATGACTGAGGATTATTTTTCTTTCACCCTCTCCTTTTCAGGGTCATGCCACTTAGGACAAGGTACAGTCTGTAGAGGGAGAGACTGTCTTTCAGGCTTTGCAGGCCACACAATCTCTGCTGCAGTGTGTATCTGCTCTGCTGTTGTATTAGTAGTTAAATATTATGTAAAGAAATAAACCTAACTATATACTAATAAAACTTTATGGACAAAGAATTTCCCATTCTTATATATTTTATACACACAATGAGATACTTTTTAAAAAATAATTATTATTATTTTTATTTAGGTTAGAAACAATCTTGTTTCACATGTCAATCCCAGCTCCCTCTCCTTCCCCTCCTCCCCTACCCTCCCCACCAGGTCCCCCAGTCCTCCACTCAGTCTTCACTCCAATCTCCAGGGAGGGTAAGGCCCTCCATGGTGGATGTCCAGTAACTGTCATTTCATCCAGGGCAGGGCCTAGGCCCTCCCACAAGAGTCCTGGTTGAGAGAGCCTCTCATATTGTGGCATGGGCACTCAAAATCTATTTGTATGCCAGGGATAAATACTACCCAAGGCCCCATAGATTACCCAGGCCTCCTCCCTGACACCAACATTCAGGGGGTCTGGGTCAGTTCCATGCTTTCCACACAGCCATCAATCTGGAGTCCAAGAGCTCCCCCTTGTTCAGGTCAACTGTTTCTGTGGGTTAAACCAGCCCAATCTTAACTCCTTTGCCCATCAGTTCTCTCTTTCTGACACTGGATTCTAGTTCAGTTCAGTGTTTGTCTGTGGGTATCTGCCTCTCCTTTCATCAGTCACTGGATGAAGGTTCTGTTTCCCAGACTCTCTGGCAAGTGGGATTGTATGCTGGCACTCCCCTGATTCATGTCTAAAATCCATAAATGAGTGAGTACATAACATGTGTCTCTTTTTGTGACTGGGTTACCTCACTCAGTATGGTTTCATCTAGTGCCATGCATTTGCCTGCAAATTTCAAGATTCTGTTTTTTTTTTCCGCTGAGTAGTACTCCATTGTGTAAATGTACCACATTTTCTCTATCCTCTTCAGTTGAGGGGCATCTAGGTTGCTTCCAGTTTCTGGCTATTACAAATAATGCTGCTATGAACATAGTGGGGCAGACATCCTTGTTGTATGAATGGGCATCTTTTGGGTATATGCCTAAGAGTGGAATTGCTGGGTCTTGTTGTAGACTGATTGCCATTTTTCTGAGGAATCTCCATACTGATTTCCAAAGTGGCTGTACAAGTCAGCACTCCCACCAGTAGTGTCCCTTTCTCCACATCATCTCCAGCACAGACTGTCATTGGAGTTTTTAATTTTAGCCATTCTGGCAGGAGTGAGATGGTATCTCAGAGTTGTTTTGATTTGCATTTCCCTGATGGCTAAGGATGTTGAGCTCTTTCTCAAGTGCCTCTCAGCCATTTTAGACTCCTCTACTGAGAATTCTCTATTTAGTTCTGCACCCCATTTTTTTATTGGATCCTTTGGTGTTTTGGAGACTTGCTTCTTGAGTTTTTTGTAAAATTTGGAGATCAGCCCTCTGTCAGATGTGGGGTAGTGAATGTCTTATCCCAATCTATGGCGTGCCTTTTGTCTTGCTGACTGTGTCCTTTGCTTTACAAAAGCTTCTCAGTTTCAAGAGGTCCCATTTATTAATTGTTGATCTTAGTGTCTGTGCTAGTGGAGTTATGTTCAGGAAGCAGTGCCCTTTAACAATTCATTCAAGGGTGCCTCCCACTTTCTCTTCTAACAGGTTCAGTGTGGCTGGATTTATGTTGAGGTCTTTGATCCATTTGGACTTAAGTTTTGTTCATGAAGATAGACATGGATCTATCCCAATTCTTCTACATGCCAACATCCAGTTATGCCAGCACCATTTGTTGAAGATGCTTTCTTTTTTTCCATTGTATATTTTTAGCTTCTTTGTCAAAAATCAGATGTTCATACATGTATGAGTTAATATCAGGGTGTTCAGGTTGATTCCATTGGTCTATCTGTCTATTCTTTGTGCCAATACTAAGCTGTTTTCAGGACTACAGCTCTATAATAGAGCTTGAAGTCAGGGATTGTGATGCCTCCAGATGTTGCTTTGTTGAATAAGGTTGTCTTGGCTATCCTGGGTCTTTAGTTTTTCCATACAAAGTTGATTATTGTTCTTTCAAGGTCTGTGAAGTACTGTTCTGGGATTTTAATGGGGATTGAGTTAAATCTGTATATTGCTTTCAGTAAGATTGCCATTTTTACTATGTTGATCCAACCTATGCAAGAGCATGGGAGATCTTTCCACCTTCTGGTGTCTTCTTTAATTTCTTTCTTTAAAGACTCAAAGTTCTTGCTATACAGGTCTTTCACTTGTTTAGTTAGCATTACCCCTAAGGTATTTTATGTTGTTTGTGGCTATTGTAAAGGGTGATATTTCTCTGATTTCTTTCCCAGCCCTTTTATCGTCTGCATATAGTAGACGATTTTCTTGAGTTGATCTTGTATCCTGCCACTTTGCTGAAAGTATTTATCAGTTGCAGGAGTTCCCTGGTAGAGTTTTTTGGGTCGCTTATGTAAACTATCATATCATCTGCAAATAGTGAAAGTTTGACCTCTTCCTTTCCAATTTGTATTCCCTTGATCTCCTTTTGTTGTCGTGTTGCTCTGGCTAGAACTTTAAGTACGATATTGAAGAGGTATGGAGAGAGTGGACAGACTTGCCTTGTTCCTGATCTTAGAGAAATTGCGTTGAATTTCTGTCCATTTAGTTTGATGTTGGCTGTTGGTTTGCTGTATATAGCTTTTATTATGTTGAGGTAAGTTCATGTTATCCCAAATCTCTCTGAGACCTTTATCATGAAGGGGTGTTGGGTTTTGTCAAAGGATTGTTCAGCATCCATTGAGATGATCAGGCAATTTTTGTTTCTCAGCTTGTTTATATGTTGGATTATATTGATGGCTTTTAATATGTTGAACCAACCTTGCATGCCTGGTATGCAGCCTACTTGATCATGCTGGATGAGTTTTCTGATGTGTCCTTGGACCCGATTTGCCAATACTTTATTGAGTATTTTTGCATCAATGTTCATGAGGGATATTGGCCTGAAGTTCTCTTTCTTAGTTGTGTCTTTGTGTGGCTTGGGGATCAAGGTTATTGAAGCCTTGTAGAAAGAGTCTGGCAAAGACCCTCTGTTTCTGTTGCGTGGAATACTTTGAGAAGAATTGGTATAAGCTGCTCTTTGAATTTCTGGTAGAATTCTGCACTGAGGCCATCTGGCCCTGGGCTTTTTGTTTTGGTTGGGAGACTTTTGATGACTGCTTCTATTTCCTTAGGGGTTATAGGTATATTTAAATTGATTATCTGTTCT